GTTCTTGCAGAAGACCCGGGTTCGAATCCCAGCACCCACATGGCAGTTAACAACTGTCCATAATTCCAGTCCCAGGGGATCCAACAGCCTCCTGTGTCCAGGCATTGCATGGCATGGGTGCACTTACCTACATGCAGGCAATACACACACAAAAAATAAAAATTAAATAAATATTTTTAAAAATTAAACAAGTGGAGGTGTAACAAGTGCTAACAGCTGGAGGATATCCACTAATCACATTCCCAGTCTACAGAGCCACCACAGAGGCATCAAGATCAGTCTCCCAACAGCCTCCCAATTCTCCAACTAGTCTATTCACCTAGAGCAGGTTATCTGGGTTCATGGATCAGGACCTCTGTAATTGGAAACACCAGGCATAGCTGAAGGCCAGTGTTAACTGAAAGCCACCCAGTACACACACACACACACACACACACACACAGAGAGAGAGAGAGAGAGAGAGAGAGAGAGAGAGAGAGAGAGAGGCTTCTAGCCTATTAGACTCCTAGAAAACTGGCATCACAGTAATAACAGATTAACAAGCTCCTCTTCTGTAGAAAGCCCCCCTGAAGAAAAAAAAAATGACTACAGACCACAGGCAGGTTGGGAGTTGGCTGGGAGACTCCCCACAAAACAGCCATTCCTGACCAGGAAAACTTGCCATTGAAAAAAAATCCTCCAGCTTCCAGGGAGCCTCAGTGTATTGGCACCTTGCTATTAGCACAAATAGATAGCTCATCATCTTTAGCCAGCTCAAAGAGAGCCATATAAGCAGACAGTAGGGTTGCAGGAATTCAGTGGGTGCAGAACAAATGCAAAAAGCCAAGAATAAGGATATGCAAGTAACATCTCCAGTTGATGAAATACAAGCACTAAGATGGGTACTAAGAAAAGGAATTCAAAGAATGACTTGGTCAAAACCTTCAGTGCCACAATTAAGGGAAAACAGAATTTAAAGATAAACTGAAATTTTAAGGAATGAAAAAAATTTCAGATGAAAAGCTTAAAGACTCTCTAAAAGTCTAAAGTGTACTTTCTTTATGGCACTATTTCTCATATTACATTTATAATTTATGACATTGATGACAATTCCAGGAGAAAGTCTTGGAAGAATTTTTAATATGCAGTAGATGGCAGTACATGTCTACAAATTTAGAATTGTATTTCACAGTATTTCATTGTTTTAATACGGTATATCAACTTTTAATATTCTTGAAACAAACAATTTGTAAAATTTGGATAGTAAAAAATTCCAGCACTGCCTCCACATTTGAATAATATTGACAAAGGCCCTGGAGCCCTGATGCACATACTCTGAACTACCTGTTTTTCAGCCTTTATTAACAAAAACAGTAAATATCAACCAAACACAAAAACCTCCACCAGACAAAAATCACAGTAACCATAAAAAAATCTAATTTCAACCTGTTAGGCTGAACTGGGCCCCAAGATGGAATCACTACTGACAGCAACATGGCAACCACAACCTGGTGGGCAGCATTCTAGGAAACAGAAAATAAACCACCCTAGTCTCTCAGTAACCACTTGACCCTTGTTTTTAGTAATGCACACACCCATAACTGCAATTTTCAAATTTTCCATCACAGCCAACCAAAAAACTGAAAAACATCTAACTGAAACTCCCCCCTGCTATTGACTCACTTTCCTCCTCTGCTCCCCTTACCCACAAGAAACCCTATAAAACACAGACTGCTGTGATGAGAAGTCACTGGCGTTCTCTCTCCTCTGGGAACAGCCCAGTCCAGCAGCTTGTCACTTCCAATAAATTTCTCCTTTACTCACTTCAGAGTGGTCTCTAGTGCTCCTGGTCTTTTCTGGAACCTAACACAACCCTGAAGATCAAAATTTTAATTTATACCGATCGCAAGCACGCTGCTATTAGAGCAAAATTAGCCAGACCACTTGGCATTTTAGTGAAGACAGTGTATGTCCAGAGAAAAGGGTTGAGGCAAGTGTGGGATAAAGGGAAATCCCCACCCCCACCCCTCTGATTCCTTGATGTGCAGCTGTATGAAAGAGAACACATGAAGTCAACCCTGTCACAGCTGATTCTAGGGAAGCTAGTTTGGATTTCTGAAGTTGATCAGTATTTCAGACCTTTCAAAGTGATTATTTAAGCACACCTTCAGATGGTTCAAAGTGTATTCTAATGGCATACTTTACAGCTAGTCCTGTCTTAGTTGCATAAAGATGCTAGTAAGTTTGTGAGGTATAACACTGAACTTTCTCCATTTCAAGTGGGGAAGAAAAGGGAAGTGACTGTGACCACTGGAGGGAGCCTGAGATCCACAGACCTTCCCAAGTGCTGGTGGGGCTACCTGTCAGGTATGGAGGTGGGGCTGCAAATTCCAGCACACTGGGCTCCCTGGTCCTCCTAGTGGGCTCTACAATGATGTTTTATCTGTGCCACATTATGAAAAATGTTAGAAGGTATTACCTTTGAGCTGCAGATTAAAGCCAGCTCTAGAATGAATGAAGAACAATTTACATTATATTTCCAGAAGATTACCAAAGCCTAAAAATACCTTGATGATTCCCACAGTGTTACATGACAAGATAGCATCTCCCCCACCATTTTCTCTTTCTATCCCCACTGTCCAGAGGCTCTCTGTAGTGAGCCAAGTAAAAAGACAGACCCAGTAGCATATTAATACCACACTGAAGCCCTGCTGGAACATTCTAAAGGTCCATTTGTGTCAGCAGATGATTCACAGAAAGAGGGCAGAAGTATTCCTCCAAGGATGCATGGAATTTGTAGGGACATAGTTAGCCTTTCCAGGGGAGAAGGAAAATGTTGGAATTCTAGATGAGAAGGCCATGTGATAAAGACGTAGAAGTAGAAATGGAATCCGACCTTCAACAGATGCAAATAGCTTTATTAGCTACAAGGGGC